GCTCACACAATGTATGTGAGAATGCTCTGCAGCCATGTGCAGCACCAGGAAGAAATGGGCTGCTTTTCTTCTCTTCTTCTTCCTTTGTACATTGTGTTTCCCATCCTGTCTTCAGAAATCCTTATGCCAAGAACAAGGAAACCCTGCTGGGAGGTGATTGCATTATTTTTTTCTTTTTCCTCTTGAGTGTGTGACATGCTGTGAAGACAGGAGCAGCTCCGAGTACCTGCCTAAAAGGGATAAATCAACATTTCTGAGATTCTCCTTCTGGCTGCTCTCCATACACAAATAGTCTCCTGGAGCAGATGTAAATATTAATTTTTTTTCTTTTACTAAGGCAGTGAACACCCATCTTGCAGTATATCACCCATAGCAAAAATATTTGCACAAAAATAGAACCCAGAAATACATCTAGAGTCATGGTTTGCTGAAACTAGTAAAAGGAATTATGATCTAATTTCATTTCCTGCGCATTTCCTGTTCATTTCCTGTACTGTTTCTCCCTGTGATTCTTGCTTTGATTTTAGATGACTTCACACAATGAAAATTCAGGCTCAAAGGCTGCAGAAGTGTCTTCCAAGCACCTCCTTTCCTAAACAGAGCTATTTTTCCTTTCTTTCCCCTCTGCTGTGTTCACCTCTACTGCCTTTAGCTGAATGGTATGAGAGGAGTATGAGGAGAAGCTCTGTTCTCTAACCTGATCGGCCCTCAAATTGGAGGATGTGGAAAGGTCTTTGTTATGCAATGAATACAAACAAGCAAAAATCTTCCAAATCCTTCATTGAGCAAGAAGGGTGTTGCAATCCTGCATGAAAGAAAGGGGATATATCCCAATATATTTAGTGAATTGTTAAAGTGGAAGGATGGAAAAGAACTGACTTCCACTAAGGAAATTGGGAACGTCCTTTCTGTTCTAGCAAAATAGCCTGTAGGCAAGAAGAAATGTAAGTTTGTAATTTACTGGGAGTTCTCAGTGCTCATGGTAGGTTTCTGCACAGGGGTGGTTGTGGTGGGATGTGGCATAGGCCAGCTGGCAGCAACCACTCCAAGAGCCTAATGACCAAAAGCCTGGCTAGAAGGGGTGGGGATGTCAGTTTTTAGGGACCCAAAAGGTTATTGTAAGGCAGAAGGGAATAATCTCTTCTGCACATCCAGCAGTGATAAGGCAGGAAGCGCAGGGTGCAAGTCACAGAAGTTTTCTGCGGCATCAGAGAAGTTTGCAGCCAATTGTCATCCCTGGGGGATAAGAGCTAAAACATCAGCCTGTTTGGTCTAAGAAGAAAAAACAAATGATGCCATTTTCTGGAGCATGTCATGGGATGCCTTTCCAGTCAGCTCCTGATTCTCCAGGTGAGGGAGGGAAAGAACTGACTGAGAGGAAAAAGAGAGTGAAGGCAAGACCCTGAGCAGCAAGAAGAGAGTGCCTATTTGCCAGAGACAGTGGCACCCAGCCGAGCAGAGATGTGAGGCCAAGGAGTCACTGTGAGGCCATCAGCCCCCCACAGTGTGAACAGGGCCTCATCCACCAGCATCCAGCACCAGCAATGCGTGACCACTTGGCACTGCTGGTCAGGCTGGGTGTTTCAACATCCCTGGGATGTTCAGCCCTGAATAATGGAGAGATAATGGCTGATGGAGGAGCCATGGCGCCTTTAGCACACTCCTTTCTGGTGCCATCTCAAAAAGGGGTTGCAAACTAAGCAGCACACCCCAAAGAACCACCATGTGCTAAATGCATGTATCAAAACTCACGGAATATCTCCTGCAAGGCTAAGATCTGGTCAGCAAAAAGGCTGCTTTGAAATTAATGGTTACTTTTATTGAGGTGTAACAAAGTGGACTTCATCTAAAGGCCATTTATTTTTAACTCCTGTAAACCTATTAACACAGCTTGGAGTTTGAGCACATCTCCGTTTTACGCTGATCTAAAGCCAAGCATGATGCCAAGTTATTGCACACAAGAAAGTCAGACAGACTGTAACTTTCACTTTAGTAGCTGAACAGTTAAGGATTATGTTTGCTACGTTTTCCTTCTTTGAAATTTCCTCATTCGTAATGTATGAGTGAGATCATTAAAAGCAACATATTGGCTGATACCATCACAGCTGCTACCTAACTGTAACACTTCATAGCAAGGAGTAACATTACTTTTCTCTTACAAATGTGTTCGGAAAAGTAAAGAAAGAGACGTGTGGCCGCAAGAACAACAGTGTAAAATGTTTAACTTCACAGAAAAAACTTCACATGTTGGGCAATTACTGATTTGCTATTAACCTCCTTTTGCCAAACCTTTTCACCCTTTGTATCTATTGCAATATGGCAGCATATTTTTTCCCCTGAACAAAATCAATATCACATTAACCCCTAATAAAAACAGATTAAGTCCTTCAGTGAACAGAAAACATCTCCACCCAGGGAATTTTAAATTCCCTACCCCTTGACTGCTTAGAAACATAATGATGATTATTTTAAGCCAGGGATGGGGTATGTCAGCCTTCTCAGAGAGAAAGATGTTTTAGGACTTCGAGGAATAAGCTCTGTGATTGGTGTTTTCATTGGGTGCTGGGTGCTGATCTGGTGCAGATTTGGCTAAACACCCTAAATAAAAGTGCATTTAGGTTGACAAACAGGTACTCTTTCAGCTGAAGGCAGGCTTTTTCCTTTTCTTGTGGATTATCTGAATCTTTACATGCTTTATGCCTACATTTTTATATTTCTCATTTTAGGGAGAGGAATTAAAAGAATCTGCATTATAAAGCTGGCTTTAAATTTCCAAATATCTTACTTCCTATCCCAGCCTGAGGGAGATGCTTATTCTTTATAAATCACTAGTCACCTCTAATAGCTTTGTTCCACTGCAGGTCCAAGGGAAAAAAAGGCTAAGTCCACACCATCATAAAAAATGAATTTGCTGTCTTTGAAAGAGAGGGCATTCCCTCTGGGTGTATAGCAACAACTTTAGATGTTATGAGCTAATCTGCAGATGTCTGGACTCACTCTGAACCACCTGAGGCCTGAATTTGCACATACACGCCCTATGCTGCAGTGATGGTCTCTCCATCCCCTCACACCTGGCTTTACACCACAGTCACCCTTCTGATACCAGTCAAGATTTCTCTGGCTTGCACAAGCAGAATGGAATTGAAGGTTCATTAGTCTTAAACTCTGAGTCAAGTAGATAAAGCTGGGATAAAAGACTTCCTTCTGTTGCAAATTCATAATTCATTTTGAGTGTGGCACATGAAACAGAGGGAATAACATAGTCCTTCCTGAAAATCTTCAGTCAGGGTTTTAATTGTGCCTCAGAGGAATAAATTCAGGGTGTTTGCCTTCCTCCCGCCCTCAACCACCCCCACCCCCACCCCCCCCCCCCAAGCCACTCCTCCCTTTTCCTTCCTCTGATAACAGCTTGGTTTTTACTAGCATCACTTCTGGCTTCTTTTATCATTTCCAGCCTCTGACAGAAGTGCTCAGCTACGCTTTCCTGTTCGATAATGAATAGGCACATTTGGAGCTGCAAATATTTGCACTTATGAGCTCATCCAGGCAAAAGATGCTAAAAATGTGACTTATCTAAATGGCAGGCAAGGGACCAAGTAAACCACACATGCCCCTTCACCATTCCTCTGCCCTGCCTCCTGGGTACCATACCTAAGAGAAAGAAGGTGACAAAGTCTTGCATCAGCTTTTCTGCTATTTCTTCATAGTCTCCGAACTCCTGCAGGAAAGGTCTCAAGGAAGTTACATCAGTTGTGCCCAGTTAATCTGGATGCATCTGAGCTTGCCACCTTTCACAGCCAGAGCAACAGGCATTTTGGAATGTAATTTATTCAGTTATAAGGTAGATGATCAGAGTAGGTCAGCTGAAACTCTTTCCCTGGAAGAGGCTGTTTATTTCTAGGAAGCTGTGGCCACACTGCAGGGAAGGGAGAAGGAGGTCTGTAAAGGGGATTGACAAGTGTGACTGGGGACAGAAGACAGTGCTCAGGAACTTGGTCAGAGCCTCTAAAAGAATCTGTAAGAGCACCTGATCTTGGATTTCCTTGCCAAAACTAATGTGGGCGCAGAATTACTTCTTTAAGTAGCCAATAAAGCCAGAGTTTAACTTAAGCATTTAACAGGAGTAGAAATTGAAAGAAGTTGGAAGAAAGCACTTACCGTTCCTCTTTGGGGTCACTGGAAAGCAGCTGTGCAGCACAGCTGTGTGCAGTCTTTGGTGCAGGATAAGCTCTCCCCTTGCTTAAAGCCAGGCTTGTGTCAGACGGGTCATTTTCCAAAAGCTGCTATAACTTCAAAACTTGTGGTTTGAATTCACCATGCAAGAGACATTGCTGATGAGCTCTGCCAACACGTTCCCTGAAGGACATTCTTCATGGCATTCATCCAATCTAAAATTTAAGGCGACGGACGCCTTTGGGGTGGGTTGCCATGAGGGGTAGTGCAGAGGTACAGGCATGCTTGGGTGGAGAGCCATGGGACTTCTTCTTATGCTTTGCCTCCATCTCTATGCTTCATTTCATATCCATCCATTCCCATGTCTGGCTTTCATACCCAGTCCTGAAGGTGGCTCTTACTTTTAAAAAGAGAGTGGAAGAATTTAGCACTGTAGAATATGGATGAGCTGTCCCCATGAATAAGACTTAGAAAAAAGCACAGCTATTTTGGAGTGCAAAAGAGTAATGCAGAGCAGGCTCATACTACGTGTCTTTAGGTTTGTAAAATGAAAGCTTTAAACCAGCTTTTGTTCACTTCAATCAAAAATACAAATAAACAATACCCACAGAAAAAGAGAGAGGAAATATTCTGCTCCTGAGCTGCATTTTTTGAATTCCAAATTTTCCTTGGGAGGGAATCTTTTCCAGCAAAGCCTGAAATCCACCAAAACTGGGAACAAATGACACTGTTTGCACAGTTTCAGTAGTACCACTGGGCACTGCTGCAAAAAACCATGGCTGATATTCATGCAGAAGGCCTCCTTTTTCTCTTTGCTCACTCAAGCAAGCATCAGGAGAGTTTGAAATGTAAACCACATTCCTATGTGACGATGAAAGAAAAATCACTTGGAAGGAGACAAGGAGGAACTGAAGTTACTCACTCAAACCAGTCAGGCTGACGAATTGCTTTTGCTGTCTCTATTCATCCACATAATGGCTTTCCCTTTCCCTGGCCAGTTTATAGAAGAATAATTATCTCTTTCAGATCAGCTGCCTTGGCTTCGTCATAAATCAGTTCCTTCCTCTCCTCTTGCCCTCCCACTGCCTCCTTCCCCATTTTTATTAGCACATCCTTCGCATAAGCCTTTTGAAGTCCAGCTTTCCACTGACTACATGAATCTGATGACTGAAGCCTCCTGTGAACTCACCATTTTTGCCACAAAGTCCTGCTTTTCCTGCTATAGCTGAACAAGTCCATGTGTGTACTTGTGACAAGTTGTGACAGAGCTCAGAGGAGAACAAGCCAGCCATGTGACATAAAGGACAACATGAGATGAGTGAAGCTGAGCCTAGTTGACTGTGCAAGGGGAACTCCTGGCTTTTTCAGAGCTCCACACGTCTCACACTGCAAAAAAGCCTGCAAAGGATTTGTGTAGTCTCATTAAAGATACAGAGGTCATTGCAGAATGAAGTGTGTGAGAGCAGCCATCCCAGAGGTATCAGCATTCGAGTGTAAGTTCAGTGCTGATGCTGGGTGATATCAGGGTGGTTGGATACCATCAAGTTTGGGATGGACTTGCCCAAAATGGGCTGAAGTCTGTTAAATAGTAGGGCAGAAAACGAAGCCTATTCATTGCAGCTGCAGGACAGACACTGTTTCAGAGCCAGGAACAACTCTCTTTTGGTCTCTTAGGTATTGCTGGCCCTCATCTGGTCTCCCCTTGGCACGAGTAAACCCTACGCTCTGTACCACTCAGATGGCCTCCTGCTTCCTCCATCCCAAATTGTTCAGCACTGGCAGAAGGACGTTTTGACGTGCTCCTTCTGGCTGCTTTGATCTGCCCAGACAACTGACACCTTCCCACTTCCACTGCTCACTTCTCATTTCCGTTAGCCTGAAACCATCAGCAACCAAATCATGGCTCTGCTGGAATCAGTGGCAAAAATTACATACTCCCAGAAAGCCCTGGTTTCATCAGAGCTGTCATCAGAACAAATAGCCAGAAGGCTGATCGCCCCAGTGATGGACAGAGTGCCTTCATGCTGAAATGCCTTTTTGTGCACAGTCTATTGGCTTTCTATCATTCCATGCTAAAAGCTCTTATCTGGTTTTTTGTCTACTATTGTGTGAGGTTTTTTAGTATTATTACAGTATCTTGGATGCTTTAAAGTTTAAAAAAGGCCTTTTTAATGCATTAAATGAGCTGGTCAGATTTTGCTGATGAGAAACAAGGGGAGAAATATCCAGATCAGTCACTCTGAATTTCCCTTCTTTTGTTTCTTATTTCTCATTCAGGTTTCCTGAAATACATACGGTAAATAAGAGATTTTTCTCATACCTCCCTGCCTAACAAAACTGGATTGAGCAAGAACTCTTAGGGGTCCCTGGTGAAAATAATGCTGGATGTACTTGGCAGAAAATTTCAGATACTACTCTAGTAGTTATTTAAAATCCAACAGGCCAAATGGCCTCAACAGTGGCAGGGTTTTTTTTTTTTTATTTATACATTCTGGTCCTCAGAAATGTAATAAAATAAGCTTGACATTCTGCTTGGGCAAGATCTATGAAAAATAAGCTCTCACTGCTGAGTTATGAGTGTCTGAAAAAAATTAAGTCACGGACATATATTACCCCTCACAGTGACAACAGTCTATGGGCAGTGTTTTGGGTATAGCTGTTTTCTTCCCAGTGCCAAATACTGCAAGCCTTAAGCAGGGAGTACTGGGGATTGCTGGTGGGTTTTTTTTGAAGGACCTGATACAAAGCCCTTTGTTTATAGGGTGCATGGTCTTAGTTAACAGTAAAGCACTGCTACTGTGTGGCATGGCTGGCAGACTCAAAAGGCTTTGAACAGAAGAGAAAAGGAAACAGGCGCATCAAAGTGGAGCTGACAGGTGATGCCAAATTCATTTGCAGCACATTGGCTTACTTTTCTCTCTCTGATTTCACATGACCTCTTTGCATGGGTTGTGGCAGGGGCGGCGTGGGCTGAACCAGCATCAGGCTGCATGCACATGGAGTTCACCCATTTCCTTACAGAGACTGGGATGATTGCTGTCATGGGTTGGGGGTTTCTAAAGGACTTTGGGAAGAAGCAGAAAGGTAAGAGCTTAAAGAGCCTGCAAGGCTCTCAACAACCATGCAATAAGCTTCTCATCACTATATGCAGGTTTCTGATGCCTGTATTTGATACTAATTTCTTCCTTCCCTAGTCCCCGCCTTGTTTAATTAGATGCCCCCTGCAAGAGCAACAGGTAGATTCATTGTGCTTGCAGCAGGAGTAATTACATTATTCCTTTTCACTAGCACCTGGACATATATTCTAACCCCTAAGCTGTAAATGAGGGATAAATCACCAAGGAGACGGCCATGTTATTTTCCTCCGTCATCTTTCTCCCTTGCCACATGAAGAGAGCAAGCAGCTCTACTGCTGCCTTCAGAGAGGAGAAGCTGCACAGCCACAGCAGCAGCCAGGCTACTTCTCCCATCTCCCCTACTCTTCTGAAAGAGTAGATTTTCCCAATTTTATTTCAGCTACCTGCGAGGAGAAGTAAGGTGGCTCCAACCTGCAACTTGGCTGGAGATCATGAAGCTCCTGCTCATCTTTCTCTCCACCTCACACACTTCTCACTGGCAGCTGCCAGTTTCTCAGACATCCCCACGTTTTCCCCTGTAAGGGGTATGCAGACTGCCAGTTTGACTGCCTGGCTCCAGGAATATGTTCATACCCCAGAACCACCATGCTTACCTGCAAGTCTCTGCATGTTTATCGACCGCTTAAGGGTTGCTCCTGCAGTCCTCCCTCAAGCAAAACCCCTATTATGGCTGTGATCTTCTGCATGCAGGGAGATTCTCCCCCACGCAGGGAGGTTTGGCTCAGCCTGATGCAGGCACAGGAGCTGCAAAACCAGGTCTTCCTCTCTGCAGAGCAGATACTGTGGTGGCTGGGGTCTGTGTGCATGACGGGGCCTCAGACTTGTCAGGGTCTCACAGTGAACATGCCCAAACCTTCCCTTACCTGGGGACTCAGGATGAGGTAAGGCCTTTCAGTTCAGGAAAGCCATGTTTTACTCAACATAAACTAAATGCTTGGCTTCTAAAATTGATAAAGTACAAAGGCATCCAGTAAAACAGAGTGGAAATAAGGAGGATTTACAGCCCTGTCTCTCTCTCTGCCTACTACATCCTTCCAGGCTTGCATTCAGCCAAGTCCCTCTGGTCCCTGGGAAGTGCTTTCCCTCGCATCATTTAGCCCTCCTGTTTCAGAAAACATGAGACTTGCTACTGTGACCTTAGAGCCTTTAGTTGTTCAGGAATACAGCTGTGCTCCTGGGTATCTCCGTTTGGAGAGATGACATATACAGCAGTCTCATGGGACACATGCACAGCTTTGGGCAATTGTCAGGACCCTGTCTTGACTTCCAAAAATGCGTATGTCCATCAAATATATGTAAGAATTTAGGTTTCCAAACTGAGGATAAAGCTCCACCATGATGCCACATAAGAATACCTGCAATTCATAATGTGTCAAGGACCAAGTGTCCAGCTTTCGTTATGCAAAAGAGCTGATATACAGCATTGATCCATGTAGCCACACATTCCAGGAGATGAAAGTCTTGTCCAGTAAGAGGTAAATGAATAAATCTGTTTCATACAAAACACTAACAAAAAACAACTAGTTTTATTTAACCCTTTTTGCTAACCAAGTTCAACCCATGACCTATGAAACAAATCTCGTATTTAAAATCCAATTCTCTGCTCTACTGCAAAAGAGCAATTAGGAAATAATTCTGCAATAGCATTGGATGTACCAGACTGAGACATATGCTTTTAATCACAGATAACAGCAGTATTTATAGCAGGGTGGGGTGTTGATATAAATTCCTTCACAAAAAAAAAAACAAAACCCAAACAATGGAACATACCCACCCCCCACCCCCCACCCCCCCCCCCCCCAATTCTGCGTAGAAAGTTAGTGAGAGAGAAGAATAAATAGGACTTGAAAGAAAACCACCGGCAGTTTAGCTAATGCTTTTGTACAAAGAATGAACCAGAGCCAAGCCAGCCACATTTGTGAAAACAGGGCCCTGTGGAACTAAATATATTGCTGATAAAGTTGCTGAAATATCTACCAGCTGTAAGAGAAATCGGGTGTTATACAAGATGCTGGATCTTCACATGGTAAGGGAACAGAGAAGGTGGCCTTGTTATTCAGAGCTGAACATAGAAAGAAGAAACATAGAAAGAAGCTGAACATAGAAAAGTTTCCCTTTTTGTATGTGAGTTGAAGAGTGAAGAGGTGATGGCTATTTCTGTAGCAAGAAATAAAATGGGCTGAAGCCCCTTTCCTGGCTTTGAGAAAATAGCATGGCTCAAGCCTGTGCTTTTAATTTCTTTTCTCTCCAAAACACAGTTCCAGGTAGTGTTTAAGCATGGGATGTCTCCCAGTTTGGAGCCCCAGTCTGTGTCTGGGCAGAGGCTGGGAGAAGCTCCCTGGGGCAGGCTGGACCATACCAGGAAGCAAGTGAGCATATGTCGTCTGAAGCACCCCCTCACTGTCATCGTGATGCACACTGATACCTGTATCAGTATTTGAAACACTTTACATCAGACTAAGCCCCAAATCAACAGCTAGCAGGAGGCTGCTGATATTCCTCAAAAGAGCCTCATCATGCTGCCTTCACTCAGGAAAAAAAGACAAAACTTAGCAGTTTGCCTGGAGCAAGAATATGAGATTTAGTGTCCAGTCTGTAACTGTAAACAAGGGGAGGGTGTTAAGCTCAGCCCTATTTCCCTGCTCCCTCACATCTCAGGTAAGGATGCTTACATGCTTTATCATGACACTTTCATATTTAACTTAACTGAGAAGTCCATAAAGTCCCTTTAAATAGAAAAAAAAATATAATTGAATAATTTATCTGAGAGTAATTTCCATTTCATCTCCAAGTCTGCTGAAGTCAGTATTGCCTGCTGCTGGGAGCTACAGAAAGTGCACGTGCTGCAGGGTACCAGGAACCACAGCAAGCGCACAAACGTGTGCCCGCAACAAGCCTGCTCCTGGGCTGCATGCAGAGCATGAGGTCTCTACTGACAATCAAAACAAGCCCTTCTTGCTTGCAGCTTGTGAGCTGCAGGCCTACACACACTTGGTGGTTTGGTGGGTCCTTGGGTGCCCTGGCTGCACCCCAACACGGCAGGTAGGAACCTTGCTCCTCAAAGCATTTACTGACCAGCACCTTCCCCATCTCTGCCAGCCAGCACTGCAGAGACAGAGATGCTGCCGCGTGTGAGTGCCTGGTCTGATGGCCTCATCTCTCAGGAGCTGCCAGATGCACTGGGGAGCACACAGATGGGGAGGGCAAGGCTCCCTCTGGCTCTGTGCTTGTCATGCAGCTTGGATCCTTGGGTCCACCCAAGAGAGCAGCTGGGAATGAGCAAATAGGGATGGAGATGGGGAGCTGGTCTTTTCAAGGGCATTCAAAATCTGGACCAGGGGAAAACAGCCAGGTGTGCAGTCCGGGTAGCAAAAGCAGATCATAGGGAAGGCTGTATTTACCTGTATAACAGTCACATTGTAGGAACCAATTAGCCAGTGCTTTCAAATTGCTGTGATAACATAAAGTGATAAGACAATTAAACACGGAAGTCAAATTTGCCTGTTCTGGCCCTTCAGTCCTGTGCCTGTTCCTTGGACAAATAAACCCTTATCATCATGTTAATTCTGAACAGCTTGTTGGGGTTATAAAGTGCTCATTGTGTGCTGTGTGGAAAAATAAAACACTAGTAAGGAGGAATTTTTATTGCTGTGTCATGGTTCGTGCTGAAACCTGATGCTGTTGAAGAGCAGCTTTTCTAGGTATTTTCCACAGTCAGATGAAAAAATTATGTTCTTCCAGCCTTGGTTCCTGCTGCAAAATCTGTCTGTGCTGATTGAATCTGCAGTCATTTTAGTTGTAAAAATTAAGTTACTCTTAAGAGACATGGTAGGTATTTTACTTCAGGGTAGAATGTACAGTTTTCATCATCTTGTAATTTATATTGCTAAAGGCCAAAAATATGCAGATTTGGTAAAGTCTGGAAGAACCACGCATAATCCACAATGCTCCAAGGAGTATATTCATAACATTCCTTCAGTCCCATTTGTGATCTTGAATAGAAAGATCTTGCATTTCTTCTGACTGAGAAGTCAGTGAAAGGGCATATTTTTCTGCTAATTAGACTCCTGGAGATTTCCTCAACTCTTCAAGAAATACCAACATGGTTTTTTTTTACATCTTTCTTCTTCAATCACAGTGAAAGCCTTTGTGCCACGTAGGGGTTTTTCTCTACTGAAGTGATTATTGAAACATCTAACGTTCTTTGCTCCTGTGCTTGTTGAAAAATCTTTTATCGGTTTATGATAAACAGGCTTGTAAATTAAACAGATGACCAGACATCTGCAGTCTAGAAGGTGAGTGGTAAAATGTTTTCCCAAATGGCTCAACAGCTGTGAGAAGAAAAATATTGGTCTATAAAAAATTTAGCATAAGGTGTCCCTGCCCACGGCAG